CTTGCCGTCCTCGTCCTTGATGTTCTGAGAGGTGAACGACCTCTTACCTTCGACGTCGATCATCTTCAGGTGCCTGTAGAAACCCGCCTGATCCCCCTCGCGGCTCTTCTTCTCGAGCTGCCGTACATAGCCCTCGAAGAACTTTTCCAGTGCTCTCCACCTCGCGATGCTGCGCTTCTTCCGCGCCGCCTTGAGCATCGCCTTCAGGGTCGCCTCGAAGGCGCTGGTCTTTGAGGCCCCAAGCAGTTGCTGCTGGGCCGCTTTAATCTCCTCCGAAGCTTCGGAGATCTCGTGCTGCGCTTCGCTCGTGTACCAGCCTCTCTGCCCTCGTGCGCACCTCGCCAGCGGCGCGGTCTCAGCAGCGGCCGACATCACCGTAGCCGTCAGCTCGGCGGCGGTCTCTCCCGTTGGCTGCCTGAGCGCCGTGGGCGGAGGGCGGCTGGACGCCCTGTTTTGGAAGGCGACCCGTAGATGTTTGTCCTTCCTCGACCGCTCGAGGTCGATACAGATCCGGCTGCTTCCGCTGTTCCCCCGCACTCGTCGGTTGGGTGCGACACGGGGGGGGAGGCGGACAGTCGTAAGTACGAGGTTGTTTTCAGAGTCTTTGAAGTCGACACATTTGACGGAGACATTACGCACGAAACGCCGGCCCGTCTGACACCAGTGTCACCTGCGGTACTGCGTATAGTATGCTGTGTACATGTTCCGTGTCGAGCGTCTCCGGCAGTAGGTGACGGGTACTGTGTACGGCGTCATGCAAATCAATGCTGTGTACGGCGCTGGTACCCGTATTCTGCCGCCGTACCATTGTATCTACCCGTCCGTATTTATATGACGATAACAATCAAGCATACCATTGATTGTTATTGTCATTGAAGTGCCATTGATTGTTATTGTCGTATACCGTTGAAAATACGCATGTGAATTTTCTTTTTTTTGTCTTCACTTCAAATCAGCGCTCACAGCACTGGTGCCGTTTACTCCAACCCGTGGTCACACACCTCTCCCCCCCCTCGGCCTGCTCCCCGGCCGGGGCCGAAATCGACCTAGTGAGTCCCTCGCGGGCGAACCAGGCCACAACTGATAGTAGGCGGGTGGTGTCCCAAGGTGCAACTCACCGCCGCGCTGGCTCAGCGTGGCGGTGAGGATGCACAAACGGTGGTAGTGGCGAGAGGTGTGTATGGACACTACTGTTCCCGCGGCAGTGATGCAAAGCGGCAAACTGCACCTGGCAACCACCGTCGCGGAAAGCGTGGCCCACGAAGCTGGAGGAGTAGAGAGATTCGTAAACACCACGTCAGTAAGCACCGCTCGCGGGAGAAGGGAGACAACCGCGGGCACCGCGGGGAGGGAGTGCTGCACCCTCCTAGTCAAAACACCACAGGCAAGAACCGAGCTCTGCAGAGATGGATTGATACGAGGAAATTCGCCGCTCGGAAAATACGGAAAAAAGGACACCCGCAACGCGAGGCGGACCGAGAGAGACACGAGGCCGCAGCGGCCGTCAAGGCGGATGCGAAGAAGAAGGCACGTGAGGGCGACCTATCGTTCGGCACGTTCAACGTACGCACGCTCGCCTACAGCGGTAGGAACCCCATCGGTCACAACGTGATGACGGTCATGCAGATTTGTTC